CCCATCCCCTCCTCTCCTTCTCCCCTCCCCCCCTCCTCTGTGTCTGTCATATCAGCAGCTGGTATGCTACTTCCCTTTTTCTTGATGTGAGGTTAACTCCCCAGGGAAATGCAGAAACCCAAGAGCTGCCCTTTGTGTGCAAACTGTACAGAGTCAGCCATCCCTTCACCAACCAGCCACTGTCCTCTATTCTAATCTTTCCTGGACTAGGCATCAGACCTGAGCCTTAGAGTCAGCTCAAATTATTCAAACTAGCTGATCCTAAGCTAAGCTACCAAAGATCTCACCCAAGCTTGCCCTTCACTCTCACCTCTGGCAGGCATGGAACTCCACCCTACCCCACATGGTATGGCCCTGAATGTGTGACATGTTTCCTGTTTGTAGGAATCTGCAGGTATAAAGCCTCCCAGGTCCAGTTGTGGCAGTGCACACCTCTAATCCCAACACTCAGGAGACTATGCAGTCAAAGCTAGCCTGAACTACACAGTGAGTTTGAGGCCAGACTGCACTAGAAAATGGGACCCTGTAACAACAACAAAAACCCCACACACTCACTAAAAATCCTTCTTAGTCACTCCACATCTGTGTGCCTTAACTACTCTCACCCGGAGCAAGTCAACCTTTCCCATATGCTTTCCCTCAAAGGCTAGCACCATCCTCTTAGAAGCCACAGTCTACAAAGGAAACAAGACCACTTCCAAATCAGAACACCTGCCCACACCCTGCACTGTGCAGGCCTCCCAACCATGGCACCCCCTCTCCAAGTGTAGGTCAAGAGAAGAGAGTTTTGAACCTCTCTGAAAAACTCCAGGTCTTAGAATGCTGGCTCTTCCCAGGCACAGTCAGGAAAGGGGGACAATGTCTAAATAGAGGTGATTCTCCCTTGCACTGAAACCCACAAAAGAATTAGTATATAAATTATAAATTAATCATTACATATTTATAGTAGTACATTCTGATAAAGTCTCGGTACAGGTAAATGTAGACACTTGATAAATGTGGTTGGTTTGTTGAATGAATGAGTGAATGAACTAAATCAAAACTGAAAATGAAGGAGCTGAGTGTTGTGGTTGCACACACTTGTTACCTCAGCAATTGGAAGTCTGACATAAGAGGTTTTCAGGTTTGAACACAGCATCTTCCTAAGTGATTGGAGATCCCAGAACAACAATGAAGACATGTTGGAAAGAAATATATACGGCCTTGTCTGGGGGTGATAAATGCTACAAAGAAAAGCAGAGCAAAGGACTAGGGACATGACTGTCAGAAGGAGTTTCTCAAGGTGGGGAGCCTTGAACCGAATCTTGAAATAACGTACATGTGAGTCACGTGAGTATATGGGGAACGTGTAGCTCAGTCAGAGTATCAAGACCCTGAGGCAGGAGCATGCTTGGTAGTTAAAGAAAGGAGCCCTCTCCTTCTTCAGAAAGCAAGCTGACCTTGCAGCTTTCCCAAACTTCCCACAGCATCCCCATCCCCCTCAGCCCACTGGACATCAGAGAGTAGGTGCTGTCACACTCAACACCCTGCCTCACCCACCACTCCTCTCCCCTTACTCCCTACAATTCACAGCCCCTAGAGCATGATCCACTACTGACTCGAATACTTCTGAGAAACCCAGCTCTGCTAACACTCCAGGCCAGGGGCCCAAAGTTTGACTGTTCCCAGCATTCAGACCTAATTCTGAATGTTTCCTGTGCCCTTGTCATATCCTGGACCAAGGTCAGTGCTAGACACCCAGCCTTAAATCCTGGCTCCATCCCCAATGCACAACTTGACCTGGGTAAGTTTAATCTCTAGGAAGACTTGGCTGTTTTGTGGGATGGCTCTTGCACCCTCGGCCCTGCCCATCTCAAAGGTTGTTCCAGAGAGCAAATGGGGTCATGTGTATAAAAGTGTACTGGGTTGCTGTACTGATGCAGAGCCATCCTCACCTTGAAGATGAAGGCTGACCCAAACCATCTCTCCTTTCTCTGGAGGCATCACTGACATTCCAGAAGAGAAAAAAATCATTCTATCTTGCCAGGATAAACAGAATGACAGAGAGTGGTGTCTCTGTGGAAAACAACTCTCAACAGGTCCACAGAAAGAAGAGGTTCTGAGTCAAGGAGCCCCCCCCCCCCATTTTT